TTGTATGCTCTCCTGTAGTAGTTCATTGAACCACAATACCGATAAGTGATTAATAAAAGTCAAAAAACCAAAGAGGTCATCTTAATAAAAAAAAAAAAAGAAAAGATAGTAAAGAATTATTGTCTAAGAACAATATGAGTATTGGATGGGTCCAAACAAATGAAACACAAGAATGGCCAGAAAAAGAGTTAGCTTTCAGACTAGAAGGGTAGCAAATATTAATAACAGCAAAGTTGGTAGCAATTTGAATAGCGATTCTAATAATACCTAAAGAGAAGCAGATAAAGCTATATACAAATAATAATGCTACAATAAGAAACATTAGTAGAAGCCTAGAACAAGCAGACAAAAGCAAGATTATTAAGAAAAAGAATGCAATGTAGTTAATAAAGATTAAAGATCTTGTCAAGACGAAAAACATTTAGATAGATTTAGTTAAAGTGAAAGGTCATAGTAAAGACAAATGGAATAATAAAGCAGATAGTCTAGCAAAGAAAGGAACAAGTAGTAGGGAAATAGTACAGGCCAAAAAAGTCAGTTATAAAGAGATAGAGTACTACCTAGAGTGGGAAAACAGATAAACTGACATATTAGCAAAACTGCTTTGCAAGTTAGTAACAAATGCAAGATTAGGAGCAGAGTGGAAAAAAATGAAAGCAGTTAAAGATCTAGAACCAGAAGCAGAAATCATAATTTATGACTAAAACTATTTTTGAAAAAGACTTAAGATGATTAAAGGAATATAGTGCATAACAAGAAGAAGCAGTGCCAGGAGAAGTGTCTTTATTAAGTGCATAATAGATAAACTTCCAACTCTAGAAGAACTCAACAAAAAAAAACCAGATATATATATAATAGTGGAATGTCAAGTATGCCAAGACAAAGTAAAAGAGACACAGGCACACTTGGCAATATGCAAAGGGCAAAGAAATCTCTGAAAGAGAATCCAAAAAGTGACTATTGCAATAGTATAGAAAAAATTAAAAGAAGAAGAAAAGATTCAGATTCCTTTATATATTTTATACATAGTGCTCTTTAGGAAAACAGAGACAAAGAAAGTTAAAATAAGAAAAGCACTAATGAAAGGCCTAATTCCAAATAAAATACAAAACAAACTAGCAAAGTTACTAAACACAAGATCAAGATAGCAGTTTGCAAATACAGTAGCAATAAAAGTCTGGAATACATTTTATGAACAAATATGAAGAATATATTGTGAGAAAATTATCGAATAGGAGAAAAAAGTTGAAATGACAAGGAAAAGTAAAAGAAAAAAAAATGAAATTCTAAAGAAAACAGGAGAAAAAAAGAAGGCAGACTGAGAAAAAATAGAAAAAAAAAGAAGAAATAAGAGAAAAAGGAAAACAAATTAAAAAAAAAGCAACAAAGACAATTTTGGGGCTTGTCATGGAAGGGAGAAGACCCTTTCATTATGGACTTTAAGTAGTCAGACTGGTAGCTTACTTCTGTTTGAAGTAATGCAGCAGATTGCACTTAGGTACTATTAAGATGGCCAGATAATGCTAAACTTAGATATTAGAGATATGTATGTAGTTACAAATGTAATTTTAAAAACTCAATAAAGTACTAGTGTAACTGCTTATTAAAAAAAATAAAAATAAAAAATATAACTTGTTATATATATAATTTTTTGTTATCTATTTAAATATAGGTAGTTAGAAAAGATATATATTTAGAAAAATTATATTTTATAATTATTATATTATTTAGAACCAAAAGAAAATATGTACTTAAAAGAATATTTATATATTATATATTTAAAAAATATGCATTTAGAAATATGACTATAGTAAAGAAATGTAATGACCTAGTGAAATAGATAGCTTGTCAATTTCTAAGTAACAGGTCTAGAGTTTAAATTCTAGTAATAGTCAATATAACTGAAAAGTCTAGGCATTTATATAATATTATATAAAGAAACACAAACTGATACCAGGTGGTATGAACCCAAAATAAGTCCTTAGGCCATATAAATTACAAGAACTAGGTAAAAAGATAGAAACCTACTTGGAAGACTTGAGTAGAGAGATAACCCAAACTTTCGACAATGCTACTAAAAGACTAAACTTATGAAACAGAGCTAGAACTTGTAAAACTAAATAAATATATCAGTCTTTAAGAAGAGATTAGATAAACCAACCAGATCACCAGAATTTTTTAATTTTGAAAAAAAAAGATACATATCAGCAAATATATAAATCAGAGATGTATAATTTAATAATATGCTCTGACCACTAGTGTTGGTCTTAGCTATAATGATACTAGATAAGCTGTAAAAATGGGATACAAAGATTCTGAAAGGTTTAATACAAGATCAAAAGTTCTAAAAAACTGATTTAAAGACTTAGTGACTATAGTATATTTTTATTAGTATTAGTCAAGATTATTAGTAGACAGAAGTAGATAGGTAGATACAGAAACTAGAGTGGTTAAATAGGAAACCTACAAGCAGGTTCCAGATATGGCAGCTAGTATAGAACCTTTGGGCAGACTACTTAAATTAAACAATAACTAAAATTGTAATTGTACACTCTTTCTATAATTGCTTTCTGTGATTGTAATGCAACTATTAGCCAAATATACTATAATAAAATCTTGGGTCACAAGTACTTACCTTAATATTTAAAAAAAAAGAATAAGACTATAGTTTATTATAAAGTTATATTAGATGTTATTTATAATCTACTAGAAGAATATCTATTTAAACTTTAATTATTTGCTTCTGTTAAATCTTAACCTACTACTAATACTTATATATACTTATATATACTGTCTAAGTAATAAATACTTTTCTTTTTGAACTTATATATAAACTGTTATATATTTTAAAATATATCACTTAATAGTAAACTTAAAAGGTTTTTTTTTTTATTATACAAATATCTTATAATTTATTAGTTATACTAATATAATTATAGTTACAAGTAAATTTTCAAACTTTAATAACTCATTTTAGTCTTAACTAGTTATAAAATGAAAGTTATTTTTTATATTTTTTAAATTTATTATTTATGCATCATTAATATTTAAAAAAAAAAAAAATATTATTTGTATTCTTTTATAAATTTAACTTATTTAAAAACTTCAAATAAAGATAATTTTATAACAAATCAAATTTACTAAATTTTTTTTCTTAAAATTCTATAAATTCATAAAATTTAAACAAAAAAAGATTCATTGAGTTTGATTTAGTAGTTATTAAAATACCTTTACTCAAAGTTTGAAAAAATCAAACCAACTATTAAAATAAAAGTTAATAAAAATTTTTTAAACTTTAAATAAAAATATTTTAGTAAGTACTAAACCAAATTTAATAAACTTTTTTTTATTTGAATTCTATAAATTTATAACATTCAAACAAAAAAAATTCATTAAATTTGGTTTAGTAATTACTAAGATATCTTGTTTAAAGTTTAAAAAAAATTTCGATCCAACTTTTATTTTAATAAATGGTTTGAAATTTTTTTAAACTTTAAATGAAAATAACTCTTAACTACTAAACCAAATTTAATAATTTTTTTTTGTTTGAATTTCATGAATCTATAGAATTAAAGAAAAAAAGTTTATTAAACTTAATCTGGTAGTTATAAAGTTATCTTCACTTAAAATTAAATTTGCAAAAAAATATAAATAATAAATTTTAAGAGTATAAAAAATAATTTTCTATAAAATTTGCACAAAATTAAGATTTAACAAAAATCTCAATTTTGGTTTGAAAACCCCGAAACCCTATTTTCAAAACAAAGACCACTATTTAGACTATAAAATTAATCAATTGATTTTTATAACTAAAAACTTAAAATCTGAAAAAAAAAATTGGTTTAAAAAAATTTATAAAATTTTATACAGAATTTTTTCTTACTCTAACGGGAACAGTGCCAAAAATCGATCAGAAATGATATTTTTATATCTAAATTCTAAAAATAAAACTTTTTGAATTTCAAATTGCGTACGCAAAGATAATTATCAAATTAGTGAAATACAGTAATTATCGTAATTCCGGCGATTTTTTCAAGTTTACAAGCTTAAAAAATTGATATGAATTTATAATTATAACAAGTTTTTGTATTTATATATATAAATAAAACCCAAAACAATTTAGATGTATTCCGATTGTATAAATTATTTAAAATTGCCAATTCATATTATCGAAGTGGACTAAAATCAAGAGGTTGCAAAATGTTTGTTTCCATTTTGCGAACCAATCGGACTATTTATTTATAGATGAAATGATTAGAAACAAGTTAATAAATATAATTTAACAACAATTACTTACCAGTTTGATAAACAGTTTCAGCCCATCCATCAACCTGCCATGCTTGCTCACGTGTAACTTTACGTTTCTCCAGATCGCTGTATTCAAAGTAAATTACTAAAAAATCTAATTTCTTGTCATTTGTGAATTAGCAATAAGATTGGACTTACGGATATTGCCACATATGATGCACATAATTGAGAGCACCTAACTGAGAAAACCAAGCCCCAACTGGCTCACAAAATTGTCTACGACATTCTAATCCGCGATTCCTAAAAAAGAATAAAAATAATGGAAAAGATTATTGACGAACATACATGTAAAAGTTCGATCATATATATACCAATAAGATTCCCATTGCAATAAATTTCCAGGCTGTAACGATAAGGTGGAATTAACATATAAAGCACTCAGTACAAGTTGAAATGTAACATGGTATACCTTTAGCTCATAGGTTCTTAGTTCATAAATCCCACCAAAAACATTTGGAGGACTAGTTTGCCAAAAAGCAAATTCAAGGCAAATTTGATTCGTACGCTGAATAAGCATTGGTTTTATTTCTTTGAGGAATCTCTGATAATGCTGTGAATATCAAATTAGATGAATGCATATATACATAATATATATAAATATGCTTAATAGCTTACAGCGTCATTATTGATCCGGTTCTGCGTGTTATGATAGCCTGAATATCCTTTATATTCCCAGATATGAACTAACGAAAATGCAAATTGTTTAGTTGTATTTTATACAATTGGCATTAATATATAAGAGAACGCTAGTTAATCTGACATACAAAATGTGTCTAGTTCGCCAATTTCAGTCTGCCAACTACCGCATAGATGAACGAAAATTTCCTGATTGTTGGCGATGCGTGGATAATGTTCAGATCTTAATCCGGGTATATAAACCATAAAATTAGCCATGTACAAGTATAAAAGGGAAGCAGATAATACAAAGATAATTTAATATGCTTACACAAGTTTTATGTAGTCATCGTGATATTCCGGTTTTATTTTGTGTTCTAAAAAAAAAAAAAAACAGAATTAAGCAATTCTGAAAGATTGATTGATTAAAGTTAATAATTGTTATGCTATAAGTATTAGAATTTAACTTTGCAACTCGTGAACATATTTTCCACGTGCAAGTAGCTTAGAATGCGTTTGTTTTTCTTCTTCCTTAGCGGCTGGCGAGCCATGAAAAATGCTCTGAACCAATGAGCTCGCTCTAGATTTCGGCTTGTCAACTTTGTTAGTTTGTTCTGCCGAAATGGTCGAGCTATAATTAAAAAAACGGATATTGTGTTTTTTTTTTTATTTCAAAAAGATTCTGCCCTCTGTTTTTGGTTTTTCCACATGCTAGAGTTGTTAATTGGAGTAGCATATTATGATTTAAACCAACCAAGCTAGAGTTATAAAACGCCAGTTTGTTAAACTTGGAATTTAAACTAAAGTATTAAATCAGAACTTAGTGTTCTAAGTTGGTTTGCGTTGAAACTAAATTAAAACCAAGCCAACTCATTAACAACCCTATCACGCGCATTATGGGTGTTAAACCTAGAAGCCGAGCAAATGTATGTGGATACCTTTTTCTTTTAATTGAATATTGCACCCCCAGAGAAACATTAAAAAGGTTGTTATGGGCGCGCGGTACCAATCCGTATAAACGAACAACTTGACGAATTACCATTTCAAAAGTTTAATATAAAAAAGTAGATTGGTTTCAAGTTTTATACGCGGTGAGAATATGCATCATGTGCGAGTAACAAAAGGAGTACTATTGCTATATACAGTCAGACCTCGATATAGTCACTCTTTATTTCTATTCTCGTTTTACCAACCATAAGAAAATTAACCTCTGTATAGGCACTATCACCTCAGTCACATTGCATTTTGGTTACCAATCCAGTAATTATATTTAACTTATTTAAAGTACTTTTTGGGAACACAAGCAAAAAATTGGCACAACCATTATTTCTATCTTTAAAAAAAAGCTAGAAAGTGAACTTTAAAGTTAATCTTATATAATCTTATTTACAGAAAAGTTAGCTTAGATATGACTTTCTAAACAAGATGCAAAAAAAAAAACTAAAAATTTTTTTTTTTGTTTTTGCTAAGATCAATGTTTATGGCAATTATTGCTTTTATTGTTAAAGATAAAAATAGCTTAAATTTAAGCCAGCTTTTGAACCAAGCTATTCAAGTTAGCTTGAGCCAGCTTAAAGCCAAATTAAACTATATATTTAATTTACTAAAAAAAAAAAAAAAAAAAAAAAATATAGAAAATAAATAATATATAAAACATAATAGAAAAAGTAATTATAATAACAGTAAATAAATATATATTTTAAAGGGTATGGTGACCTAGTGAAGTGGTCAGGTTGTCAACCTTCCAAGTGGTAGGTTGGGTGTTCAAATCCTATCAACAACAAAAATTTGAATAATCACCTATATAATATTTGTATTATGGCAACTGTTACTAACAATTGGGTTAGGATACCTGTAATAGCAGTCACATCAGCATGACTGGCAGGTCATGGAGCATCTGTGTAAGTATAGTATTACACAGAGAAATGCAAATTGACAAATCAGGTGGTGCAAATACTAGATAAGTCCTTGTATCATGTAAATCTATTGAAATTAAGTAATAAGAAGTTTATTTGGAAAGATCTGAGTAGAAAGGTAGTTGGATCTTTGATGGTCCTACTGTAAAGGCTAGCCTGGAGAAATGGATACCAAAGTCATAGTACCCAGTCGTAGTAGCTAAATAGGCAAGAACCTTTGGGTTGGGAGGTTCAGAGGTATTACCAACTAGGTCATCGAAATGAATCAGAGAAAAAGGATATCAGACTAACCTAATATACCAATGGACTGGTCATAATCCTACATAGACTATCTGGATTGGAAGTTTGGTAAAAAGGCTGAACGAAAGGTAAGGATATACTAAAGTATTGAGATTATGCTGTGAAATAGATGCTGAAGTCTAAGTGAACTCTACAAGAACATAACGGTTTAATGATTAAACCTGACTGCAAGTATTAGTTCTGCCATAATGATACCTAGATCAACTATAAAAATGGATACAAAAGACTCTGAAAGATTTACTTGAGGATAAATTAGTCCTAAGGTTGAGAATGATAATCTGGTACATTTGAAATGACCAATAATGTTAATACAAATTATAGGTTCAGAGAGTTTAAAGTAGAACATCTAAGCAGAAGTGTTAGATACAACAATTGGTAGGGGGCCTTTGGATAGACTCCTTAAATAGGTAATATAAAAAAGTTACACATATAACCAATTGTATGCTCTCCTGTAGTGGTTCATTGAACTACAATACCGATAAGTAATTAATAAAAGTCAAAAGACCAAAGAGGTCACTTTAAAAAAAAAAATAAAAAAAATAATAATATATAATAATTATTAATATATATAATAATTATTAATATAATAGTAAATTTATACTTTATGTAAAAATTTCAAATAAATATTTAATAAAGATAGAGGCATGGCCTTATTATTAATATTAAAAAAAATAATTATTAATATATAATAAAATAGCTGTACAATGTTGTTATACAAAACCAGAAATAGAAGATATAAAAAGTATTAATATTGCATATAGTAAATATAATATATAGGTTGTTGTATTATTGAACATATATAATAATATATTATATATATAGTATACTATATACTGTATATAGAATTTTGCAATTTGATTTAATTTGATTTATTTTAATCAAATATTTGAGTTCAAATCAAATTCAAATCTAAATTTTTAAATCAAATCAAATTCAAATATGATTAAATTTGATTTGATTTGACAAATATTTAATTTAATTTGAAAATTTATAATTGAATATTCAAAATTATAAGCTATTTACTCAAAATTTTATTAAGACAATCAACCTTTTCATTTTATGAAACTAGAGATATTTTGTTTAGACAAACACTTTTACTTAAGAGCTCAAAATTAATTAATATAGTAAAAAGTTTTGTAAATCAAGTTTTTTCTTTATTGATCAAAATTTTTAAATTTTTTTAAAAATCAAATCAAATTTAAATAATTGATTCAAATATTTGATCAAATCAAATTAAATCAAGGAAATATTTGATTTGATCAAATTTAAATTAACCTAATATTTGATTTGATTTAGTTTTGAGAAACTCTAACTGTACATGACAAAATTTTTAAAAAACTGTGCAGTAAGACTTTTAGAATTTAGGTTAGTTAGATAATTATGACTAGCTAGTATAATTCAGATTAGGTTGCATAATGCTGCAAGCTATGCAGTAGCTTATTTCAAACTGTAAATACTGTATGCAAAATTTTTGCTAGTTCTTTTTAAGGTAGTTAGTAAAGTAGTACTATATGATTATATAAATATATATAAGTATATGAAAATTGAATAAAATTTTATAATTAATATAGGTTTGTAAAATTAATTTTTATAAGTTTATTATCTATTTAGCACATAAAAATGATGAATTATTGGATGTGATTAATAAGTATTATTTAATATAATTATTTAGCTAATGCTTATTTATCATATTAATGATTTATTATATATTTATATCAAATAAAAGAGAATGTTTAATTTTTTATAAGTAAACTATTTTTATATTTAAAGTTAAAGCAAGTGTGAGCATTGTTCTTTTTTTATATGAGGTTATAAAAAATTGACTTTTTTCAAAAAATTTTTTCTTTTACAAATCATACCTACTGTTATAAATTCTACATATCCATTCCAATTTGTATTTTTATATTATTTAATTTACTATATACTCTTATTTATACTAGCTAATCAAATTGCTAAACATGCATTGTATGGACTATATATGAAAAAAAATTTGTATATTATATAAATACCATATTACTAAGCATATGATGAATAATGGCACAAATCACTGAAAGATAAATAAATTTTTTATAATCATATATAATATAGAAACACTTCACTCACTATAAAACAATGCACTTTGTTGCATTCTGTTTCTAGTATAAACAAAAACAAAACATAGCTTAACATAGTTATATTTTATCAAATCTAATTTAAACAAGTTAACTTTTTTTTTTTATAAAAATCATGTGATATATATGAAGTTAAAATCTGTAAGATCAGAAATAAAACAAATAGAAAACAAGATATAACTTTAAATCTAAAATACATGCATATACATAAAATAAAATACTTACATAGTTTATATAAGCTATATTAAACTAGTTGTACTCTATTCATCATATATAAAGCAAATCTCACATTCTTTTTAGCATTGTTTGGAGTACTATACAAAGTTACAAAAATTGATTATCTAATCAGATCCAAGTTTTTGCAGATTAATATCTAAATTACATATAAATCACTAAGATAAAGTAAACTATTGTAATAGCAAACACTATTTTGCACAACTTCAAATTATGTAAAAATGAATAAAATAAATCAATAAAAATGAAAGGCATAAAATAGTAAAAAGACTGCATAGCAAAATTGATAATATAAGTGAATCTTGTATAAATCAAGTAATAACTTGATATTGTAATAAAATTTACTAAAAACTATTAAGCTGTAACAAATTTTAAAGTGATGAGGGTCGAGTGGAAGATCTTTTATTTAAAGGAAAATAAAATAAAAGAAAATAAGAAATATAAAAATAAATAAAATAAATAAAAACAACTAAAAATAAAGAATAAATATTTAAAAATAAAATTTAAATTCAATAGCCTCCTAGATACTATAAGGAGCTTTATGATAGGCTGGTTGTAGGGAAGATTTGACCTATTG